TGAAATCAACCAATAACAAATGCTGGTGGGGCTGTGGGGAAAGAGGAACACTGCTCCACTGCTGGTGGAAGTGTAGATTGGTGCAACCACTGTGGAAATCAGTATGGAGATACTTCAAAAATCTAGGACTGGAAGTCCCATTTGACCCTGCTATTCCCCTGCTGGGTATCTTCCCCAAAGAATTAAAAGCATCATACCACAGTGATATATGGGCACACATGTTCATAGCACCACAGTTTGTAATAGCTAAAACTTAGAAACAGCCTAAATGCCCATCAACTGGAGACTGGATGAAGAAAATGTAGCTTTTTTATAAAATGGAGTACTACTCAGCCATCACAAATGAGAAATTAGAGACATTTATTGCTAAATGGATGCACATTGAGGCAGCCTTGCTTATAATGTCCTTTTCTTCTTTCATTTCTCTATATTTTCCTCTTCTCATTTTAAAATTTTCTCCCTTTATGGTAAAATTGCTATGTTGAGTGAACATTTACTATATATAATTTTCTGATTGGTCTTAGATTTTGTTATATGATAATAAATATTGTACCTAAAGTTAAAGGTGGCAAATTATTAGTCATCACAGTTTGTCATTTTTCAGTCCGTGTTTGATGATATTGTTATCACTGACTGTAATACTTAAACCAACATGACATAGTTGTTGTGATTAATTGGTCTTAATTGCATGCCAATTCCTAGATTGTCTGGGGGGGATCATAGAAAATATTACAGCTCAGTACCAAATAACTATGTGCTAGGCCAAACAGGCTGCAAAATTTCATCCCTTATAAATAGAAAAGACAGGATCCTGGGACAGACTCAAAGGCCAAAAGCTTAGAAGACATCTCATTTCCTTAGTAGATCTCAATATTAGTGAAAAGCCACCTACCATAAGCAACTTCAAGCCTCCATGCAGAAAACAAATAAACAAAAAAACCAGAAAATAAGAAAAAAATGTAATCAAGATGCAATCCAACACCCACAACACACCCAAGGAAAATCCAGCAGTCACTGAGTTGAAAGAAACCAAAAGCCCCCCAGCTAACCTTGCTGAAATGGTAATAGCAGTCTACGGCCATACCATCCTGAATGGACCCAATCTCGTCTGAAATGGTAATAGCAGAAGTAACAAAATGCATGAATAACTCTCTTGACAAAACTAAAAAAAAAAAATTACATGGATAAAGTGATGATGATCCTAATGAAAAAATGGTTAGAGATGCTAGAGTAGATAAAATAGAAGAGATTAGGAAAGACAGGTAAACCACAAATGCCCAACATAGGAAAGAACTGGATACTATAAAACAGATTCAAATAGATATATGAGATTAAAAATTCTATTGAAATTATACATAATCAACCAATGTGAAGATAGAAATTCAGATCTAGCAGACAAACTTGCAGTTGGCAATCATCAAATAAAAGACTTCCTAAAAATAGCAAGGAACCATGAAAAAACAATCCAAAAACTGTCAGACAATGCAAACAATAATATAAGATTAATTGAAATCAATGAAATATCAGAAGATAGAACAAAAGACACAAAAATATTGTTTACAGAAATAATTTCAGAAACTTTTTTCCAAGGATGAAAAAAGAATTTGACATACAGAGAAGTAAGGAA